TCCCTGGTCTGTCGCTCTTTCCAATAGCCTTCCAAAAAATGACATGGCCCCTGCTACAGTTACGGCTCCAGCTGAAACAGGGTGAAGCAGCTGGGTATCTGACTGCAAGGGAAACACGTGCAGCTCACAGGCAGCTCTTCAAAATGGTCTAGTTGTCCAGCAACAACTCCCCCCTCCTTAACGGTAACACCGTGCGGTGCTGAATCACCCCAGCCCCGCTCTGTGCGGCAAGGATGATCGCTTGTAATAATCCCCTAGAAAAGGAGCAGCTGAGGACCAGGTGATGCTGCATTTGCACTCCCCGAGCAGTATGTTTTTTCTCTGAGTATTCCTGGTGGTTTTGCTAGCGTTGCTTCTGGTGGGAAATGCTGCTGAGGGAGTGAAAGGCTAGCAAAATCCACCCTCTCTGTCACGTTATCTTGGAAAACACGTGTGCCTTATACAGCATTAACCACCTCTGCTCTTACTTCATCCCTCACCCCAGAGAGGCAACGGAGCACAGCCCTGATTTAGCTGGCAGAGCAGCTCCCAGTCCAGCGATGCTCTCCCAGCGGGACTGGTAGAGGCAGAGAAGCGGAGAGCCAGACTCAAGGGCTGGGTTACGTGGTTGCTTCTCTCTCAGCTTCCCGTTTCCTGCTCTAGTTTCTCCACCCACGGTCCCGGGAGAAAAGACTGCTTCTGATGGCACACTTCTCTGTAGGTTTATGCAGGAGGACATATGGGCTGTGATAGTTTGATGATAACCCTGGAAGAATCCTCCCCTCACATGCATTTAAAAAAGAAAAAGAAAAAAAAAAGCATGATCCCATTTTCAGGAGGCCGCAGTGACAGATTCTTTCTTGAGCTAGATTTCTGAGCAGCATGATTAAAGAACAGCTTTTATTTTTAATTTATGATCATGAAAGAGCCACTATCAAATTCAGTTATGTAATTTTTCCTTATAAAACTTTGATACAATCTGTGATAAAAAAGCAGCAGCCAGTAGAGATTGTGATTGCATATAGCAGCAAGACTTTCAAATTACAACATAAAATGGTGGAGCTCTAAAGCTGCATCCTCTTGCTTCGTCCAAGGGATGCTAAGACTACAGCTTACACTGAGAATGTGAAATTATAAGTGACATTCACTCTATCATAGCATTCTTTATTATGCTAAAGGAATAGATTAAATGGGAAGTAGCTTTTTAACCTTTGTTCACTAGCTAGTGTAAGTTCTCTTAAATGTTTATAATGGTCTTCAGAAAAGGGTGCATTTTGATTTAAATTCACTTTTGAGTGGCTGGAAGTAAACAATGGACCGATTATAAAGCATGGACAATGTTGCCTCTATGGAAGAGAGATTTATAAGAATGACTATAGAGTGGAACTTTGTGCTATAAAACATGAGAAATATTATGAGATTGCAGTGTTAAAAGCTCAAGAAATAGTTTGAACAGAGCAACTGGAAATCAAATAGCCAATTTTCTGTCTTTTCTGTCCGTCTGTACTGTTTAATCTTAGAATATGGCTGTTTTGTAAATTCTGTAATCAATAAAGCAATGCTCTTACAGTGCAGAAACTCATCCCTCTTCTCCTTCTCTCCTAGTACACAGGGCTACGCACGCCAGGACTGCGTATTCTGAGACCCCTTTTTCTTTTGCACTATTTGTTGCCCCTAAGAACCTAGACCTTCTGTTTTGGGAGGTGTCCTAGAGGGGTTTCCACACTCCGCTAGTAGCAGAAAGGCTGTCTCGCAGCCAGGTGTGAGTTCAGGTACTCACACCTCTGAGATGCTGCCGCTTTCCTGAGATGATGGAAGCTGGCAGTTGTGGTCTTCTCTCCCTCACCCATCTTTCATCGGATGCTCTCAGGTCTCTGACTTGGCCATCTGAGGACATATTATATAGGATAGTGAGAAGGGAGTGCGTTTAAGCAGACGCTGGTGCTCTTGCACTTCCTATGGGTCAAGCAGCTCCTTTCACTGAGGCAGAGACTAGTTTTCCGAGTCATCATCCTCCCCCCGACACACACACACGTTGGAGGAACCTTTTCAGCCAGTGGGTCCACAGCTGCAGCAATGGATGCTGGACTCAGTCACCATCTCATACTCAGTAGCTGAAGAGATGAAAGGAGATGGTCACAAGAGCCTGCTCCTCTTCTAGACCAAGACTGGAGTGGAGCCTTTTCAGTGACCCTAGTATAATAGTTAGCTCCTTATTTGTAGGAAGTAGCTTTAGTAGCCACACATAGCCTGTGCTCGGGCAAAAGGCCAGGGGGGGCGAGAGGTCTCCTGCCAGTCGCATGTGAGCAGGAACAGCACAGAAAAGACTTTGCTTGGGCAGGTGCAGGACCACAGCAAGGAGCGTCTAAGCCCTCTGCGTGCGACACTAAGCAACACTCAAAAGGTACGAGGAAGAGAAAACACAAGGCCACCCTTGGCAAATGGGTTTACTACTATATTAATACGATAAGCAGTATTTGGTAGTAAGCTCAGACTGGATGGCCAAGCTCAATTTTGTTTGTAAGTCTAGTCTTAAGTCACTTGGCTAGTAGCTCACAGTCAAAAAGATCATCAGCAGCAGGACCTTGTCAGGGTTTCCCTGCCCCAGGTGTTACCGCTGCATGCTAACCAGGTGAGCCTGTGCCACAGTCACCCTAGTCCCAGCACAAATACCCTCCTCAGGAAGGCTCTCAGTAAAGCTACTTTAAGCGTGAATAAAATGACTGAAGACTTAATCAAATTACTACTTCTTCATCATCATATAGCTCAATATATAAAGCTGCTGGGTTTTTTTTTTTTCCCCCGAGAAGAAACTGGAAGTCACTTAAAAGACTCGGCAT